CTGTTGAAAAGAGAAAGCGTGGTCGTCCTAGAAAGATTCTTGGATCAACCTCGAGATTATCTGGTTATTTTTTTTGAAATTAATTTTAAAAATTATATAGTCTTATTATAATGGAATATATAATAAAATTATTTAATTTATGTTTGTAGAATACTGGGACATGGGAGATGCAATATACTGCTGTAAACATTGCGGAGCAAAATTTTGGTACGAGGAAAGAAAATCTCATCGTCGGAAACCAGTTTGTCCAGAATATTCTGGTTGTTGTCTGAATGGATTAGTAGAGCTTCCATCAGCGCGAGATCCTCCTCAATTTCTGAAAGATTTGCTTTATGGAGATGGCCACATGAGCAAACATTTTCAAGAAAATATAAGATCTTACAACAGCATGTTTGGTTTCACTTCAATGGGCGGTAAAATTGATGCGGATATCAATAAGGGGTCCGGACCGCCTGTTTTTGCTTTGCACGGACAAAACTATCATCTTATTGGAAGTTTGTTGCCAACCGAAGGTTCTACTCCAAAGTTTGCGCAACTGTACATATATGATACTGAAAATGAAGTTTCCAACAGAATTCAAGCTGTGAGGTATATTATTTTTGTTCATAAACATTTATTTGCCTTTTATTATGTCATTTATGTATTTATTTTATATATATGTATATATATATATATATATCTTATATAAAATGTTGAGATTTTTTTTTCTTCAATGACGGTTGTATTTTATTTATGCTGCAGGAAAGGATCTGATGATACAAAATTGCATGAGGGTATTGTTGCTGGTTTGAAGCAGATGCTAGACCAACATAATGAATTGGTTAAATCATTTCGTATGGCGAGAGATAGAATGCAGGAGCTAGGAGAGGCTAATGTTAGAGTTCGTCTGGTTGGACGGAGATATAACGATGCTAGACGGTATAACCTCCCAACCAGTTCTGAACTCGCTGTGTTGGTTGTTGGCGATTTTGACCAAGCCATGGGTGATAGGGACATCTTGGTTGAAACCAAAAGTGGTCTTCTTAAGCGTATAAATGAGCTCAACGCTTCCTATCTGTCACTACAATATCCTCTATTATTGCCTTATGGTGAGGATGGTTACCGAGAAGACATACTCTTCGCTGAAGGAAAAAAATCAACTGAAGAGGGTCGGAAACATGTCAGTGTCCGGGAGTATTTTGCTTTCAGGATGCATGATAGAGACCAAGAACCGGCTACTATTGTTTCAGCAAGAAGACTTTATCAACAGTTTATTGTTGATGCATATACCATGGTCGAATCATCGAGGCTGCGATATATTCGGTTCAATCAAAAGAAACTCCGTTGTGAAATGTATAACGGTTTGGTCGATGCCGTTCTTCGTGGGGACACGGATGCCAGTTCTCGAGGGAAGAGGGTTATTGTTCCTTCTTCGTTCACAGGGGGTGCTCGGAATATGATTCAGAATTATCAAGATGCAATGGCTATTTGTAGATGGGCCGGTTATCCTGATCTGTTTATTACTTTCACTTGCAATCCAAAATGGCCGGAGATTGTTCGATTCCTTGAACCGAGAAAATTACGGCCAGAGGACCGACCGGATATTGTCTGTAGGGTGTTTAGATCAAAACTCAAAGAAATGATTAGGGATTTCCGTACGAAGGAGATATTTGGCAAGGTGATTGCAGGTGAGATATTATTTCATTGCAATTATCTTATAACAATCATTGTGTTTGGACTTATTACTTTAACCTTTAACAATCTATGACTATTTCGAGTATCAATAATTTTGATATATCATTTCTTGTGCAGTCGTCTACACAATTGAGTTTCAAAAACGTGGATTGCCCCATGCTCATATACTTCTGTTTTTATCTAAGGATAACAAGTTCCCTAATCCTTCCGACATTGACAGAATCATATCCGCTGAGATACCAGATGAACTATCTGATCCTTTGTATTATGAAGCAGTAAAGGAGCACATGATTCACGGGCCATGTGGTTTGGTACGAAAAGGTTCGCCGTGTATGGTTGATGGTAAATGCAGCAAGCGTTTTCCAAAACAGTTTGTCGAATCAACCACTGTTGATGATGAAGGTTATCCTCGGTATAGACGACGTGACGATGGGAGGTATATGGACAAAAATGGTGTTGTTGTCCACAATGGATATGTCGTGCCTCATAATCGTGGTCTTTTGATGAAATATGGAGCTCACATCAACGTGGAGTGGTGCAATCAATCACGATCAATAAAGTACCTCTTTAAATATGTCAACAAAGGCCACGATCGTGTGACGGCATCTTTCTATCAAACTTCAGCTGAGGGGGAAACTGAAAAACCTTTGGATGAGATCAACATGTACTATGATTGCAGATACATTTCTTCATGTGAGGCTGCCTGGCGTTTGTTGGGTTATGAGTTGCAATACAAAAAACCTCCTGTTCAGCGGTTGAGTTTCCATTTGAAAGGAAAACAGCAAGTGTATTTTGACGATGATGATAATCTTCAATACGTTCTCGATAAGCCCTCTGTAGAGGATAGCCAGTTTCTTGCGTGGTTTGAGGCCAACAAAATGTATCCGGCAGCAAGGGAACTAACTTATGTTGAGGCTCCGTCGAAATTCGTTTGGAATAAAACAACCCGCGAGTGGACTCCTAGAAAAAATGAAGACCAACCATCTGTAGGTCGTCTGCGGTATGTACCTCCTGGTTGTGGAGATGATTTCTATTTGAGGTGTTTGTTAAACGTTGTTCGCGGTGCAACGTGTCATGAGGACTACATGAAGGTTGGAGAGACTCAGTATGTTACATATCGAGATGCTTGCTATGAAAGGGGTTTGTTGGAGGATGATAGAGAGTACATAGACGGCATCGCCGAAGCAAGTCAGTGGGCATCCGCATCCTCTCTAAGACGCATGTTCGCATCGTTGTTGGTTTCTGGTTCGTTTGGTAGACCTGAGGAGGTATGGACAAGATGTTGGCAATCTTTGTCGGATGACATTCTTTACCGACAGCGGCGACTCTTCAACAATGATGGTATTTCATTATATTAGTGATATTATATTCTAAATATGATGTGATATTAGATTTTTATATACAAATTTATATTTTTTCAATTGTTGTGATGCTAAATTATCTTTTTTGAATATTTAGGTTTGTTGCTTACAGAAGAGCAAATCCAGAATCTAGCCCTTGCAGAGATTGAGTACTTATTGCGACGGCGTGGAGCAAGTCTTAGTGATTATTCTACTATGCCCTTTCCGGATAGCGACAGTATGCAATCAAATTCAAATCGTCTGCTTTTGGATGAGTTGAACTACGATCGAAAGGCCCTTGCTGTTGAACATGCTGTGCTTCTTGAAAAAATGACTGACGAACAGAAAGGAGTCTACTCAACAATTATGTCGTCCGTGGATTCTGGTCAAGGCGGAGTTTTTTTTGTATATGGCTATGGTGGAACCGGGAAAACATATTTGTGGAGAACTTTATCTGCTGGCCTGAGATCGAAAGGTGGTATAGTGCTGTGTGTCGCATCGAGCGGAATAGCATCACTTTTGTTGCCTGGTGGACGAACTGCTCATTCTCGATTTGGCATACCATTGAATCCTCACCAGGACTCTTCCTGCAATATCAATCAGGGAAGCCCTCTCGCGGAATTGATAATACGTTCTTCTTTGATAATCTGGGATGAGGCTCCAATGATGCACAAGCATTGCTTTGAAGCTGTTCAGACATCGTTGCAAGATATTATGGGAGCAATTGATCCTTCTAACAAGGAAAAACCATTTGGAGGCAAATCAGTTGTTTTTGGTGGAGATTTCCGGCAAATTCTTCCTGTAATTCCAAAGGGTAGCCGTCAGGACATAGTGAATGCTGCGATTAATGCTTCTGACATCTGGAGGAGTTGTACTGTGCTCAGGCTTACAAAAAATATGCGTCTTCAGAGCCTTCAAGATTCCGAGGAACGTGAAGAGGTTGCTCGGTTTGCTGAATGGATTGCGAGCATTGGTGATGGAACTATAGGAGGGTCAAACGATGGTTGTGCAATGATTGACGTACCTGAGGATATATTGCTTCAGCCATCTGATGATCCGATTGCTCAAATTGTAGAAAGCACGTACCCAATGTTTAAGCACACAACCAATGATCCCAGTTATTTGAAGGACAGAGCAATATTAGCACCGACGCTTGATGTTGTTGAGTCTGTCAATGAATACATGACATCCTTGAATTTATCAGAAGGTAATACGTACTTGAGCTCCGATAGTACTTGCAAGTCGGACTCTAATAGTGATTTTCTTTCTGAAATCCATACGCCCGAGTTCTTGAATAGCATCAAATGTTCGGGAATTCCAAATCATCAGTTGCATTTGAAGATTGGAACCCCTGTCATGTTGTTGCGGAATATGGATCATTCTATGGGTTTATGTAATGGGACACGGTTGGTTGTGACAAGACTATCCGCTCATGTTCTTGAGTGTAAGATACTCTCTGGGGATCACGAAGGAGAGAAGGTGTTGATTCCTAGAATGGCGATAACTCCTTCCGATGTTAGAATTCCTTTCAAGTTTCAGAGACGACAATTTCCTATTATGGTATCGTATGCCATGACTATCAACAAGAGCCAGGGACAATCGTTATCGCATGTTGGTTTATTTCTTAAGAAGCCGGTGTTCAGTCATGGGCAATTATACGTTGCTGCCTCCCGTGTCACCACTCGAAGTGGGTTGAAGATATTAGTCTGTAATGACGATGACGTGTCGCCCAATAAGACCCAAAACGTTGTGTACAAAGAAGTGTTTACTAATTTATGAAGTTTTTAATTTGTTTTTCTCTATTTTACATTTGTTACATATCTACAAAGTGCATTAAATTTAATGTTAATATTTAAAAGTTTCAAAAAAATATACCAGCCGTGCATCGCACGGGTCAGTACTAGTAGATATAGATAATAAAAAATCTAAAATTTGTGCCCTGAAACGGTCCACCGTCCAGATCATGACACGTAGTTCATGGGCTCGCCAGATGCTAATCACATTTGACCATTTCTCTTCACATGTCTATATATATAGAACAGAGATCTGAGCCGCAAATAATAGCATTGCATAAATCTACGTCTCTCCTAGGTTTTCATCGGCGCTTCATCGCATCAAAACCAGATATCATGCCTCGCCGTAGCTCCGGTGGTAAGTAGTCTTTCTTTGTAATTCCGTATGTTTATTCTTGATTTCATCTCGTCGATCTTGTTATAGGGTTCCGATTTGTTACTTTTTGTGGTGATTCATACTTACGAAGATTTAGGGCTGGTGTTTTCTATTATCGGACGGATTGATGGTTTCTGATTGTGCTTCATCTTGTAAATTTATTGCTTGAAAGTTGAGCTGGTATAGTTTTCCAATGTAATGGAATACGGTGACCCTAAACCCACCGATGGGTGAGCTTTTAATGCGTAAAACCACTAACCCAATATTTTGTTTTGAAAAGTTATGCCAATATTATCAGAGGAATCTTTGTATTTTTTTTTTGAACTTGGGATTTATAGAGAGTAGAGGTGATTCTTGTGGAATATTGATTATGCGCATGTCTTTTGATAGTAAACTGTGTATATTACACTACGCATGGATAGTTTTCTTGTGCATATGTGGCACAAGTGTTTTTTTTTTACTTCTTATTCACAAGAATCACAACACAAGGCAATGACTGCTTCTTATTACATTACTTTTGCTTGAATAAATCAATTATTGTCCGCCATCTGTTTAAATTATTTTCTTTCACTTGTGTGTGTATGTGTGTGTCTGTGTGCTTCCTAATATGAAAGACTTGTCATTGTTTTTAGGTGGTAATGGATGTTTTTTCACAGACAACTTTGTATGCCATGGAAAATGAATCTCAAGTCAAGATATCACTTGCTCGATTCTTGGATTTGTATATTAAATCTGCCAATATTTCTCCATCATAAATTTAGATGCTTCAAGTTTCAGAAAACATTATATATATTTTTATATATTTTTTTTTTTATTTCAGCTGTTTTAACCTCTTTGGTGGTCATCTACTAGAATACTTGCCCATGTTGATTTCTCAATTTGGCATTAATACATTCAAATCTTTAATTTTACAGGAAGATCTGCTCGTCCTGCTCCTCGCCCAGCTGCGCGTAATCCGCCACCACAACCAGGTACGGTTTTCAATAAGGACTATCTAATAGTTATATGATGGGATTTGAAAAGGCTTCTCTAAAACTTAACTTCACCTGTTAGTTTTGTATATTTGTTTTTATCCACTTGTAGTTGGAATATATCTCGATACTTGCCATGTAACTGTAATTCAATCTCAAGTGTCACAATTTTGCCATAAACTTCTGTGCAGTTCACCATGCTCCTCCTCCAGCTCCAGTTCAGAGTGCTCCTGGTGGTTCCATGCTCGGAAATATTGGTTCGACCATAGCCCAGGGTAGGTGAAAATTAGCTCAGCTACTCACCTGCTTATCTATTTTATCTGTTTATTCTCTGTTATTATATATATATATATATATATATATAGCAATCTCTTTTGCTATGGAACTTATTGTGTTGATCTTCTTTTTCCTTTTTATTTTTTGTACAGGTATGGCATTTGGCACTGGAAGTGCTGTTGCGCACAGGGCTGTGGATGCTGTTCTTGGGCCACGCACCATTCAACATGAAACAGTTGCCTCTGAGGCTGCTACTGCTGCTCCAGCACCACCTGCAAGCAGTATGACTGGGGCTGATGCTTGCAACATGCACTCTAAGGCATTCCAGGATGTAAGAGAAAACTGCACTCTTATGATATTCTTTTTTGTTTTGATAATTCAATATCTTCTTTGGAGACTTGTTTTTCGGGTGAAATGGGCTATTCATAATAATAATTTGTGTGGAACCTTGGTCTCAATTCTTTAAGATTTTGCATTGTGCTGGGTAGTCTGATAGCAATGGTTAACTATTTTTGTACTATTTTCTGTGGGTTAAGCCGTTGCTGATAGTCATAAATTTTCTACAGTATAACAATTAATTAAACCCCCTTGCTAATGTGTATTGTGGGTTGGATATTAGATTGTGATTTATTAGTTGGTTTGAACTTACGTCCTTGTGCTGTCTAGCTTGTGGTTGATTAGGACAATACTTGCTGGGTTTTAACTAATACTTATTTTTATGCCAGCTTATTAGTTTTTTTTTTAGTTTTTCCAGAGTATATTAGTCTGTTGATTCATTTAAATGATGTTTCTTGTTTTTTCAGTGCTTGAATGGCTATGGAAACGATATCAGCAAGTGTCAGTTCTACATGGACATGCTGACAGAGTGCAGGAGGAACTCGGGCTCTGTCATGAGTTCTTAAATGTTTCAACTATTTTTCTGAACCTATGATTCATAAATTGTCTGAATATGTGTTGTGGGATTGTATTTGATGGCTTCCTTGTCTGGGGATCTTAAACTAGACCAATGAACACTACTCTGTTACGAGTGTTGTTCAATAATGTTTATGCAAACGTTGCTGCTACTTGAAATTGGTGTGCTTTTTTGCTTGTGGTTATGAGTTCAGATGTGGCATGTTTTTTCCAGTTTTTATATTTTTGGTAGCTTACAAATTGTTTTTTCATGATTTTTTGGTGTGCGATGTGTGAGATTTATGGCCCCCAGTTAATTGTCTGACTCAAAGATACAAGGGCCTTTATAAGTTCTGAAATGGTAGTGCTCTTAATTTATATTAGTGAATAATTCTTGGCATGAGCTGTGAACAAGACGGGTACAGGTGCCAGGGTCAGAGACACGTCTTAAAGACATCTCTTAAAAATAAAATACTTTACTTAACAAACTAACTGCCCATCTCATCCGTAGTGTTGGTGAGTGGTGACAGAGTTTGATGATTTATAGGCTTATTGTTTAACTTGCCAACTAAGTTCTATTGAAAGCTAGGATTGTGAGCTTTAAGATTAACGAGTTGTTATAGTTAGAGCTCAAAATGTGATAGAGCTAGAGCTCGAGGAATGGGATAGAGTTGAGAGTTTGAGGTGTATGCTAGAGCTAGAGCTCAAAGTGTGATAGAGCTAGAGCTCGGGGATTGAGATAGCGCTAGAGCTTGAGGTGTATGCTAGAGCTAGAGTTAGAGCTCGAGGTGTAAGCTAGAGCTAGAGTGTGAATTAGAGTTGAGGTGAAAGTTAGAGCTTCATATGGGGGTAATGAAGAATCGTGTATCTTGACTCAGTTTCTGAATAAACGCGCACTAATGGCCTTCGCTTAGCCACGATAATTTGTGATAAAACCGGCTCTAACGGCTTAGTTCTAACACGATTGTATGATAAAATCCTAACGTATTCTAACGAGTTTTGTCCAAGAGGACGATTTTCTTATTAGTTCTTGCATTATAAATTGACGGTTTTGCTATGGAGCCATCCATATTTATCCACAAATGGTGTATAACACGTGTCCTACAATAAATACTTATTGGACACGTGTCAATACATAAAGTGGTGGATGTGTCTATAAAAAAACCATCTGATGGCTCCATAAATTTTCTGTATAAATTGAATGGCAATAGCTAGTATTTATAGAGACTATCAAATCTAATCCTAAGAGAATTAGAATTTTAAGCGTAAGGAAATAACATGTCTAGTATCATCTAAGGAAATTAAATATCTTAACAACTCAATAATGAATCCTAATTCTAAACAATCTATAAATAACTAACTCCTAATTAACACGCTAAGTAAATCGGCCCATCCCCTTCTAGAAGGATCTCGGCCAACTTGGTTCTCAAGTTGAGAAAAGTCTTATGCTCCAAGTCTCGACCAGTCGGTGTGATCGCGTGTCTCGTTCGCGAACTCCTCTGCGTGCTTGGTCGTGCGCTGCATTAGGCCCGTTGCCATCTACCAGGCTCGTCAGGCCCAATCTCATCAGTCCCAGGCCCACTCGTGCACCCAGGTCTAGGCCCGCCCGCGTGATTGCCGAACGCGGGCGCCCACGTCGAGTCCGTCTGCAAGAATCTCGGCCCCGTGAGCATGTCCTTGTCCTGGCGCGCCTGCGCTCCACTTTTGCGCTTATTGCGCATTTCTGCCTCACGCGGTATTTTCGCACGCGTGTCCTTGCGCCTTCGCGAGCTCTCTTCGTGTGCACCCACTTGCTTTGTGCGCGTGATGTCCCGTACCATCGCTGTCGTGCGGCCTTGCGCATGCGCTCGCGCTGCCATGCGCACTATCTCGTCTGTCAACCTGCGCACCGTCCTACGTATTTGCATGGTCTTCAATGGTGTAAGAACACCGAAGCACTGGCTATCGAAATAAATCTAAGAACAAAAATCTTGAATTCTCAATTGAATGCTCGAATGATTTGTCAATTCTGAAATCTCAACAGTCTTTAATTGATCTTCAAGACGTGACTATGTAGCTTCTCCAAGTAGCTACTCCTTTTCCTTCTAGGTTGATTTCCTTCCAAGCATAAGCTTCAAAACATGGCAAGTGAATATTTGATCTTGAACATGGTTACTCTCTCTCTTCGTCTTATTTCCAAATATGCCGATTATCATCCCATGTACCTTCACTTACCTTCAAAATATAATCAAACATAAGATCACAAAAAATATCTTGCAAAATCTAAGTTAGCAAAATAATATATACACTATTATATGACAATCGATATGCTAATATATATAATTAAAAATAAATGAAGATCTTCCCTTAATTCTATTTTGCTTGGTTTAATACACTAAACCCCCCTGTATTATACGAAATCTGCGCGTTTCTCTCCTGTATTTTAAAAATTGCGTCAGACCCCCTTCTATTAAGGTTTTGTATGCGCGAAACACTCAAAATCGTCTAAATTTTGAGTGTTTCGCGCATACAAAACCTTAATAGAAGGGGGTCTGACGCAATTTTTAAAATATAGGGGGAAAACGCGCATATTTCGTATAATACAAGGGGGTCTTGTATATTTTACCCGAAAGATTATATCTTCAATATATTATTTTTGAAATCCGTGCCAAAAATAAATCTTTCAATTTACTTCATTAATCATCAAGTTTGTATCATGTCAAAATGATAAATTAACCGACCAATCAAGCCAACATGTAAAATAATAGCTAAAAAGAAAAGTCAATATACTTCAATATATTAATATAAATTATAAAGAATAAATTAATTGTAATTATCAAATAGTGTAACTAAAGATCGTTACTTCCAACACTAAAATAATATATATTACATCAACTTTAGAGTGGTGTCCGTTTCAGAGATTTTATTTTAAATACATTACCAATTTTGCTAACTTCAACATTAAGAATGAAAATAATATTATGGTAATAAAGTTAAAAATAAAAAGATAAAAAGATTAACTAGGCATATAAAGTAAATCTTAAAATATTATATATAGTGAAAACAAAAACAAAAGATTAGTTATAAAAATACTTTTACATATTATTTTTAAATTAATTATTAATATTGCCCATCCATGGTGAAGTGAAAAAAGAACATAGGTTTCCACAACAAAATATTGGGTTGATTTCCGACCATTGAACAAGCAATGAACAAGAATAAGAATCGGCCAGAAATAATGAATGGAAGTTTCGAATTCTCGCGGGAATACTGTTAGCAAATAGTTATCCGAACATGGTTTTATGCCATGAAGGTTCACCAGATACATCAACATAATAAGATATAATAAGTAGACATAATAAACAAACAAGGTGTCGTGGTGTAGTTGGTTATCACGTCAGTCTAACACACTGAAGGTCTCCGGTTCGAGTCCGGGCGACGCCATAAGTTCAACTTTTTTTTTTTCCTTTTGGTTTTCTTCCACAATAACAGAGGATTTAATTAATTAATACCAAAAAGAAAAGTGTGAAAAAAAAGAAAAATAGAAAAAAAAAAGCTATAAATAAATAAGAAATGTGATTGAGGGAGACAATTTGCTAATACGGATTAGGATTCCAAGATAATGAAATTATCAAATTACATAAACCACATTTTCACTTCAAAGGGTTGACCGAATTTGAGAATCATTAGCTACTATGAATTGATTTGAGGGCTAGATGTAATTATTTATTATTTACTAATAAATAAATGATAAATATCCCTTTTATTTAGTTAAACTTAACAATGTTACTTCTACTTTAATTTTATCATTACTCCCCCACGGTAAATCATGATAATTGCGGATAAATTTAATTTATCTATATATCAAAATATAATGAGAAATTGACTTATAAACCAAATTCCAATTCCAATTGTGAGGATTGACCCACTACCTTGATTATATTTATTTTTATAGAGTCACAGTCCCACGTTTATTACTCAAATATTTTAAATTCATATAATTAAGAATCTAGAATTTACATAAATGTATTATTTTCTAATTTTATGAAATTATTTTATTATATTTAATTATGATATTCTTTTATATTTACTAATTTAAATAGCATAATAACATTCAATTATTTATATAATCTCTTTAAATTGAAATAATATTATAATTTCTTAAAATTTATTTTATGTAATTTTATTCAAAATTTTGGAAAAAACAATAAAATATTTATTTTGTGGTGCATTAATGAATTAGATTTTTATTATTTTTATAAAATAATTTATATTTTCATAAGATGCTCTTTAAATTGCGTTGATAATTAAATTGATGTTATTTATAAATACATGAAATTATTTTTATTTTATATATGCAGTATGGATGTCAAATCGAAGATCGTTAAAATGTGATTATTTTGGTAGATCATATATAAAACATAAAGTACAAATAAAATATTTATAAAGTTTTAAAAATAAAAAGAATACACATTTATAATAATTAATATATGAATTAAATAAAAATGGTAAGAGTAATATATGGTAACTTAAGAAAAAAGAAAAACTAAAATAGTTTATGGTAATTCTAAGCCTAATAGTCAAAATCAGACCTGAACATGTGTCATTACAAAACACCAATTTATGAGAAATAAATTTATGAAACACACAAGTCTGCCACTTAGACTCTGCATGAATCATATATAGAGGTTGGTTGTCAGGGTATTTGTGTTGACTAATAAATGTCAGAAGGGCAAAATAGTAAGTTCTTAAATTATCTAAATTAAATAAAGAATATTATAATAAATAGTAAATTTAGAATATGAGTAAACAAATAATGAATAATACTCCCAAGTCCCAAACGTGTAGTGCACATTTGCATCTTCTTTAACGAAAATGGTGGAATTGTGCAATCAGACCTTATTGTGTGCAATTTTTAAAATACAAATGCGTGCAGATGTAGTGCACAATTGCATCTTTGACGAATTTAGGGGAATTATGCAAACAGACCTTAGTTTGTGCAATTATTAAAATACAAGGTAAAAAAGTACTAATTTCGATAAATAAAGGGGTGTAGGATATTAATTATTATACCCATAAAATAAATACTATTTGTTAACAGAGTGGCACTAAACTTTTCATATATTATCAAATCTCAAGAACTTTGTTTGGTAGTATATTAAATATATTTTTTAAAAGGTTTATGAGGGTACAAATATTAAAGATAGGCCTTAAAACTGGACATATGACGCATAACCTCAACAAGTTCATTTCTTGATGAAGGAAACTCCTTTCTCAATGCTTGCTGCCAACTCTTTCTTTGCTTTCTCCAGGCCAACCCTGTTAAGAAATTAAACAAACTAATTATAAAAAGTAAATGCAGGAAAAACATAAAATGTGTAAAAAGTTGACAAAATTCCTATGCTTAGAAGTTAGAG